ACTTGGACTACAATCAGCGTGAGTACGAGGCAGTTATTGTGGCATCACAATTCGACGAGGATACCTCCAAGTTGGTTCGCAGCTTTCAGAAAAACAATGCTTGCTTCTCTGATCGAGGGGTGAACCAGCTAAAATTAGCAGCAGAACTAGCCGCAGCTTCAAGAAAACCAACATCAGGGGCACGTTCAAATTGTAGGTTATATCCCCCCAGAGGCAGGGGTACTTATACTTATAGAAATTATGGTAGAGGTGTAGGCGGTCGTGGTCAAGGTAGAACGGATGTGTTCCATGGATTAGCAGCCAACTATCCTCCCAACCAACCTCAATATGGAGGAGAATAGTTCTCAATCATGCCACTCTCTAACTATTCCAAATGGCAAGAAATAGGTGCGTCTCCAACTGTTATTAGTTGGCTTCAATGTGGTGTAACGCTATCGTTTACCACTGACCCACCGGTGATTGAATTGCCTAACAGAAATTTTGTAAGTGATCAAATAACATTTTTGAATAGTGAGATTAAGAACTTGCTTCAGAAAGGTATTATTGCCAGATGTGCCTTTAAACCTAGAGTTGTCTCTCCACTGAATGTGGTACCGAAGAAGGGCAAAAACAAGTGGAGACTTATTATTGATCTTCGTGTTGTTAATTCTTACATTGATGCTCCCAAGTTTTCTAACGAGAAAATTTATGTTTATTCATTAGTGAAGAGTGAGGACCATTTAATTACGATTGATCTCAAGGATGGGTTTTATCATGTGCCTGTGTGTGAATCTCAACAAACCTTCCTAGGGTTTAAATGGAATCATAATTGTTATTGCTGGACCAGACTTCCATTTGGGTTAAATGCCTCACCTTACTTCTTTGCAATAGTTTTACGACCGGTTCTTTAATTATGTTAGGGTCTAACAAACAAAAGAGGCAGGTTGGATGGGGCACTTCTTTGGCGCATAAAAACTACGTTTGTGGTTCGCGCTGTAGAATTATGGATTAAAGGATTACTGGTCACATATGATTGCCTGTGTTGATAAACACTATAGGATAAGGGATTCGGCCTTGTTTTTTTTTATTATACCTATTATAATAATAATTAGTGTAATTAGTATACAAAAGATTCCCAAAGAGCGCCCTAAAGGCACTGTAGCTTGCAAGCGTTAAGAAACCTGTAGAAAGGATAATAGTGAGTAGTAATTACAGTTTTAGAGGAGAAGACAGAATACTTCGAGGGAAAGGCAACCGAATGAGGCAGGGAGAAGCCCGGCCACGTGTAAGTTGGCCCATGTGGAACTCGGACCCGGGTCACAGCGGTGGAAGGCGAGGACATACTGCTACGCCAACCTGACTGAAGTAATGGGAATGAGTTAATTTTTTCAATCTCGTCTGAGTTTTTGAAAGGTTAATTTAGAACAGGGACGCCCAAAACGGAAGTTATCCATTGAACACCTGTTCTTCTCATCCCGAAACCGATATGTACAGTCCTTCAAGTCGCCGTTGAAGCTCTGGGGATTAGCAGGACATTATGCCTTGTCGTCGTGTTGCTAATGTGTGCATGATGGCCAGCATTGGTAGGCTAATATACATTGACCCGTTCCTGAATCACACGTTAATTAAACTCCAAACTACAATGTAAAAATGTTTGGCAAATAATTCGTTGGGCGAAATATAAACAACGCAATATGTATTAGGCAATGTTGCCCAATAGTTAAACGTGTTAACTATTCGCCAATCGGTGGTCGAATAATCAACCCTTTTGCCCAGCTTTTTTTTACAGAGCAAAAGCCACGACGTTCCGCCGCCCGCCAATATGGAAAAGTTTTCCCGGATTTGTCTCATAAAAGAAGTTGCCCACATGACCGCTGTGTGACCTCCACGGGAGCTATGTGTGCACAGGGTCACGCGCCGCTGACCTCCACTGCAGGGTACTGCCATTGTGGGAATGGGTAAATAAACAATGGCACAATATGAGGGGACTGGCATAGTCAATGTAAATACAACAATTTGTAGAGAAATAATTCTACTTTGCACGACGAGAAAATCCGTGTGTTGAAAATGGATGGACTCTCGATGCCATTGGCATGATTGTATCACATCTTCGTCACTTACGCCCAACGATATTCACGACAAATCTCGGTTTAATCTCTCAGTTTTAAGCATGTTTTCTAAACAATAGATAGAAAAAAGACACTTACCTCATTTCTGATAATGTTTGTAATGACATTTACTGAAACAGAAGACAGGATATTCTTGAAATCAACGCGAGATTACTGACGTCCGGCGAAGGCTAAATTAAATTTGGCGCGGCCTGTCGGAATAATACTTAACCCCTACAACTTTAATGGTACGATCCAGTCAAGACGACAGAAAAAAAAGGCTTTAATTTCAAAACAATACTTTAAATTAAACCTAAAACTTAACTGATAGATTGCAAAAATAGTCCTACATATTACTAATAAATAAAATCTATACCAAACGTCGTAGAATTGTAACATTTGACGATGAAAGACGATGAGTAATAATTGATGACGTCACAAATGCGGTTTTGCGTGCTTGTGTCATCCGGGACCTGTAGATGAAAGGTCATTTCAGACGCTAGATGTGAATAGTCAATCCTCTCCAAAGCTTCGTTCCGACAAAATTATTCAACCCATCAAAACATGTTTTATATCGCCAGAAAGCTAATATGGGTCATTCCATGTCAGACCAACGCACTTTTTTACCTCATGTCTTCCGATTTTAATAAAAATTGCTGTGCTTGTAGGTCCTAATGAGCAATGAATACACACCAATTTTTAGCCCGATCCGACCTACCATGTGGTCAGGGCAGAAGCCACAAAAAAATGGCATTTTTAGAGTAAAATACCACCCTTTTGGTATAAATATGTCAAAACTATGGCAATTTTCATCCAATATATGTGAATTTGGTTTTAAAATAATGAGGATTGCATGCTCAAATCACTCTTTTTGTCAAAATTAAATTTTGTGAAAAGTAGGTCACGTGACCTTTAATATGCTATCGTGACCTTTGACCCAATTTTTGTAATAATGTATCATTCCGAAAATCAACGAAATAAAAATAACTTGCTAGAGCATGTCTTCCTCTATCAGAATCTACTAAAAATCAGTTGGGGTCTTCAAAATTTACAACTTTATGACTACTTTTGTACAGTTAGTAGGTTACAAATGAGTCAATTTATAGACTTTACATAAGAAATTCACCAACACAACTTACTATTCTGTTTCTAAAGTTACTAAAATTAATCTAGATTTGTATGTATAAAGTACAAAGCCAGGAAAAACAAAATTCCACCTTCTGATTCCAAAGAAACTGTTTAATCAGAATATCTGGACTCAAAGTGTGCTAACCACTAACAGTAACCAGGCCTTCACCCAGTACAGCGGACTCACGTCCAGGTGAAATTCACCTCAAAGGAACAAAATGCCAAGTCTGTGAGAGTCATTAAAGTTCAAGAAGCACAGTGATGAATGAGTAAAGGTAACTTTGATTGTAATATTAAGTATTATCTTCAAGCAAACTTGAATCCTAGACCCTGATTAGTCCATCTATAGCAACAACTGTGTGATTTTATATAATATTGCACAGCTATATTGCACCCCAGATATTAAAAATGTACGTGTACATATGTTGTGTTATTTCCTGCAGAACGGACCAAAACACTACATGTATGCACGTACATCTTCACTGCGTGTACGCATTTGATATCAAGTTTGCTTGAAGATAAATTGGTTATAAATCCCACTTGCGTGGAACACGGAATTATGTAGTGCATCGAGTGGCATATGGGTCACAGCAGCATTGCATTATTTCATATTCCAAGCGCGCTCGTGGGATAACTAATTATCAGTGGCACCCAGGAGGGGGGGGGGGGCCTTGAACCCACCCCCAACATTGTCAATTTGTTTGTTTGATTTTATTCTAGTTTTTGTTGAAATTCACAAACCAAGATATATTTTAGTAACTTTAGAAACAGAATAGTAAGTTGTGTTGGTGAATTTCTTATGTAAAGTCTATAAATTGACTCATTTGTAACCCACCAACTGTACAAAAATAGTCATAAAGTTGTAAATTTGGAAGACCCCAACTGATTTTTAGTAGATTCTGATAGAGGAAGACATGCTCTAGCAAGTTATTTTGATATCGTTGATTTTTGGAATGATACATTATTACAAAAAATGGGTCAAAGGTCACGATAGCATATTAAAGGTCATGTGACCTACCTTTCACAAAATTTAATTTTGACAAAAGAAGTGCTTTGAGCATGCAATCCTCATTATTTTAATAACAATTTCACATATATTCGATGAAAATTGCCATAGTTTTGACATATTTATACCAAAAGGGTGGTATTTTACTCTAAAAATGCCAATTTTTTGTGGCTTCTGCCCTGACCACATGGTAGGTCGGATCGGGCTAAAAATTGGTGTGTATTCATTGCTCATTAGGACCTACAAGCACAGCAATTTTTATTAAAATCGGAAGACATGAGGTAAAAAAGTGCGTTGGTCTGACATGGAATGACCCATATACTGCACATTCATAAGCCGCTAGGCCCAAAGCAGCCTGATCACAATGACACGAGTGAGGGCTCACGAAAGCGAGTAATGTGCAAGGAAACTTGCTGTTTTGCTAGCTCTCCCACGCAAAAACGACGACATTATGCAGGTTTACTATGTTTTTTCCAACGAAACTGAGGAACTTACTGGTATTATTTGTAGGTTTTGGATTTGATGAATAGTTATTCAAGTGACTCCCGAGCGGCCCAATGCTGGAAATGCAGCGCACTTTTTTTATAAAATCACTTTTTCATAAAAAATGCTCATTTGACCTATGTACGCAGGCCAGATTGAGCGGATGAGACAACGTTTCCATATAGTTCAGTTCAGTTCAGATACATATATTTACGTTTGAAAACCTGTGAACCGTTCGTTGTCAATGGAGCTGGAAGTCCGGTGGAAAAAAAGAAAAGAAAACCAGATGAACTTACCACGATGTTACAAAAGTGAGTCACAATAATAAGGCGGCAACTTGCGCTTTACTAAACACCAACCGATCTCCACGAGGGGCTCCAAGTAGCTGTCTTTTTTTTCTGCGGCTCTCTGTACGCTATCCAGTCACACCGATGCACTGAGAGAGTAGAGTGTTTTTATGGTGAGGACACGAATCATTAAGTAGTGGCGATCGCGATATGGTCGCTTTCACCTCCGCCCACGGTTGAACAGACTTGTTTTTTTCCACCCGTGAAAGCATTGGCTTTCGTCCTTGGGTTGTGTTTTTTCTATGCAAACAAACTAAATAAAATATGCACCAACGCACAAACTAAATGGCACAATGAACCTTATGGCTTGCATAGAAGTAGAAATTTAACCTGCATTGAGGTTGAAATTCTACCTCCATTTGCACAACTAAATATCAAAGTGACCCTGCACAAACACATATGATATACACGCACATCTGTATATAGGTACTGCGTACTGTATAGCGGACTGTGCACCGATCTCCTGTCTTGTTAATTATAGTCCAGGCAAAATACTTTTATTTTTAAAGTGAAACTCACACATACGAACTGCAACAGAATTTGGAATTCTACCTACATTTCCTTGTTTGAATAACATTTTCTAAGGGAAATCAATATCAGAGACCGGATAAGGACATAATAAAGATACAAAATGGCTATTATTAATACTTTAAATTAAGTTGCGCGTAAATGCCTTTTACTCATACATTCTCAAAGGTCAGTATTGATGAGCTTCAAATTCACAAACTTCTATCTACTGGCACAAACTTCTATCTACTAACAAAAATAAACGGTGAATTATGTGAAAAAAATAAAAAATTCTTGATCATATGCCAAAATACCGGGGGGAGGGGGAAATGTGGTGTTCATGGTAAATTGGGCTAAACAGTAGGCGACGGGTTGCCTAACGAACAAAATAAAGGATTATTGTTGCTTACAATAATACTGTCAACGTCAAAATGTTTTCTTACCAGTAATTTTGGAATTTCCTTGAACTTTTAGGCACCCACCTGCTTTTTAGCCCAATTATACAGACGCCTCTTTCCCCGTTTTTTGTTTTCTGGGCTAAACATCGAATTTTTATCATTCTTCAAATTTGCAGGAGCTAATTCACGTTGGGTCATTTTTGGAATTCAAATTCACCATTAAGCAAGATTTGTGAAATGTAAGCAAAAGAATTCGAAACTGGTTCATGTGATTACTTTGTTTGTCTGTTTCTTTGTTCCAATTTGAAAATGCTTAATACTATTTCCCACAAGATACGGCTACATAGCAGCAGCCACAAATGACCATATTTTGATCATTTTTTTGCATAAAAACAAGCACATGTTACTGAAATAAAGAATGTTTAAGATCAACTTAGGGCCTCATTTAGAAAAAGGTCAGAGATATAAGAAACCAAGATCGTCATTTAAATCTAGAAGATAGAAGGGCAAATGCACAGTAGTTTAAAACCATATATGACCCAGACATCATCAATATTCTTGAATTATCATCAAAAATATCATTGAAAACGAATTCAAATGCAATCATTTACCATGTAAAATATTGTCCAAATTCATTAGTACGTGCATCTTTGTCAAAACGATGCAGATTTTGCTATTCGGGAGTTTAACTCGCTGCTGTGGAGTAACGCCCTCTGTTGACCAATAGTGTACAGTGTGACAACAATTTTTTTTTCAGTTCAAAACTTCGCGGATCTAGGACGACGTACGTTCACTGCGCTATTTTGTGAGATCAAAAGTAAGACTTACCCATGCTTTTATTCAATCTACTCAAATGGGACTCATTAATTTACTGGAGAATTTTCATTTTCGAAGGAATGTAGTGTAATGTTTAATCATTGTTTTCCCTCGAAATTTGGGAAATAAAATTAATCATTGTGTGCAACGCAGGGGAATATGTATGTTTATGATGTTTCTCGCTTTTTTGAGTTTTGGGGGAGAGAGGGCAATCAGTAGAATGTTAGTAGGTTTTTTTATATTCTAAAAAGAAAAACAACCAAAACTACTTTGTAACTTACTCTTAGTAGAAAAGAAAAAAAACTAAAGTATTTTGAAAGTTACTCTATAAGCTTTATGCTGGGCTAAAGGTGTTCCATCTCACGATCTTCTTCGCTAATATGCGATCGCGAAATCTGCCTGATATACTGACAACAAATGCTTCACTATGATCGACCGAGAAACTCATCCAATCACACTTTTTTTTTTTGTCACTGTGCCGCGTTTTAATTGTCTTTGCTTCCATAGAGTCACTGTTTAATAATCTGATTCGACATAGGATTTTCTCAGTGTATTTATAATTTCCTAGGCAACATTGATGAAGCTGTTTAAAAATCCATGTTTTGTAGCTTTGGTCAATTTGTTTCTTGGAGAGAAAAAAACAGAGAAAAAAAACCTTAAAATTGAGATGAAAGGCTTTTACACTTAATGGACAGACCAGGTTTTGCTGTAAGTGAAAGTCATACAGAATCGTTCTAAACACCTTTTCCTAATTCATAATCAAACAGAAAGGGCCTATTCCGAAATAAACTGTGCTATAATTATTATAGTCCAAAATGGTACTTATACACATGGCATTTTGAATGTAAGTTACTGTCTGACACGAGCAGTTATATAGTTTACGAAAATATTATTTTCTTTCTTAACTTTACAAGAAATTAAGTTTCAGATATTAACTACTCTACATGACATCAAAACCCTAAAAAGAACCTGCCTGTGCGAAATGTGCACCTTTATTTCATGCCAAGGACACTTAGTAAACTGTGATATCGATGTACAAAAAAACCTGTACATGTAGTACGTGAGGTTGACTCACTACAGAACAATCGGATTGGAAAGGGATTTCCCCTCTTCATGGCTTGTCAACAGAGGGCGCTGTTTTTCTTACTCAGCCGCTGCGTTCCGATCACCTGGCCGGCGAAAATGAACAGTATTGGTCAACAGAGGGCGCTACTCCCCAGCAGCGAGTAAAACCACTATGAGTAAAACTCCCGAATAGCAAAATCTGCATCGTTTTGACAAAGATGCACGTACTAATGAATTTGGAAAATATTTTACATGGTAAACGATTGCATTTGAATTCGCTTTCAATGATATTTTTGATGATAATTCAAGAGTATTGATGATGTCTGGGTCAAATATGGTTTTAAACCACTGTGCATTTGCCCTTCTATCTTCTAGATTTAAATGACGATCCTGGTTTTCTTAGGCCAAAAAAAAAGTCTCCGGTTTCTGGTATGCGCGCGCGTCGCCGTAGCCATGCGCGTCGGCAAAATGAAAAAGTTTTTTTTTCAATGAAAGATGATGTCTCAAAACCGCCAAACTCACTGGTTTGACTGGAATCCTGCTGCTGCACAATTTTAACGTGTTTTTAGATTGGGTAATGGTCGAGAATAATCTTTATGTGGCCTCTCTGGACTCCCATATATTTGCACTAAGTTTAGTCGGGCACCATTTTCAGTCATCAGCCGACATTTGAAGCAAAAAAATCAGGTAAAAAAAAAAAAAGCCGCGTCGCCGCACCACTTTTTGGGCAAGCTCCATACTAGAAACCGGAAACTTTTTTTTTTTTGGCCTTATATCTCTGACCTTTTTCTCAATGAGGCCCTAACTTGATCTTAAACATGCTTCATTTCAGTAACATGTGCTTGTTTTTATGCAAAAAAAGTGATCAAAATATGGTCATTTGTGGCTGCTGCTATGTAGCCGTATCATGTGGGAAATAGTATTAAGCCTTTTCAAATTGGAACAAAGAAACACAGACAAACAAAGTAATCACATGAACCGGTTTCGAATTCCTTTGCTTACATTTCACAAATGTTGTTGCGAATTCGAATTCCCAAACTGACCCAACGTGAATTAGCTCCTGCAAATTTGAACAATGATAAAAATGTGATGTTTAGCAAAGAAAACAAAAAACGGGGAAAGAGGTGTTTATATAATTGGGCTAAAAAGCAGGTGGGTGCCTAAAAGTTCAAGGAAATTCCAAAATTACTGGTAAAAAAACATTTTGACGTAAAGGGCAAAACCTATAATTGGACAGTATTATTGTAAGCAACAATAATCCTTTATTGTGTTCGTTAGGCAACCCGTCGCCTACTGTTTAGCCAAATTAACCATGAACACCACACTAGTTTTCCCCTCCCCCCGGTATTTTGGCATATGATCAAGAATTTTTCATTTTTTCACATAATTCACCGTTTATTTTTGTTAGTAGATAGAAGGTTGTGCCAGTAGATAGAAGTTTGTAAATTTGAAGCTCATCAATACTGACCTTTGTCGAGAATGTATGAGTAAAAGGTATTTGCGCGCAACTTAATTTAAGGTATTAATAATAGCCATTTTGTATCTTTATTATGTCCTTATCCGGTCTCTGATAGTGATTTCCTTTAGAGAATATTATTCAAACAAGGAAATGTAGGTAGAATTCCAAATTCTGTTGCAGTTTGTATGTGTGAGTTTCACTTTAAAAATAAAAGTATTTTGCCTGGACTATAATTAACGAGACTGGAGATCAGTGCACAGTCCGCTATACAGTACGCAGTACCTTTACAGATGTGCGTGTATATCAAGTGTGTTTGTGCAGGGTCACATTGATATTTAGTTATGCAAATGGAGGTAGAATTTCAACCTCAATTAATGCAGGTTACTTCTATGCAAGCCATCAGGTTCATTGTGCCATTTAGTTTGTGCGTTGGTGCATATTTTATTTAGTTTGTTTGCATAGAAAAAAAAACACTTCCCAAGGACGAAAGCCAATGCTTTCACGGTGCAAATAACCAAGTCTGTTCAACCGAGGGCGGAGGTGAAAGCGACCATATCGCGATCGCCACTACTTATTCGTGTCCTCGCCATAAAAAAAACACTCTACTCTCTCATCAGTGTGACTGGATAGCGTACAGAGAGCCGCAGAAAAAAAGACAGCTATTTGGAGCCCCTCGTGGAGATCGGTTGGTGTTTAGTAAAGCGCAAGTTGCCGCCTTATTATTGTGACTCACTTTTGTAACATCGTGGTAAGTTCACCTGGTTTTCTTTTTTTTTCCACCGGACCTCCAGCTCCATTGACCACGAACCGTTCAGAGGTTTTCAAACGTAAATATATGTATCTGAACTGAACTGAACGTCGTGGTTTTTGCAATGCC